AGTAAATCATCTACCCAAATAATCAAGATAATGCACTTACTGGCATCACCATTAACAAACTTATGGTAGACACAAGGGTCAGCCTGGGATTGCATAAACCCTTCCTTCACCAAGTAGTTATGAAGTGTTGCATTCCAGTTCCTACCACTCTGTTTGAGACCGTACAGAGACTTATTGAGTTTGCAAACAAGTTTCTTACCATTTCCCCCCACTTTTTCATAGCCCTTAGGTTGTTCAACAAAGATGTCACAATCAATGGGGGCATTTAGATATGCTGCCTTAACATCCATCTGATGGACAATCATATCGTTTTGCACCGCGTGCTGCAATAATACTCGAATTGAGCTCATCCGAGCTGTTGGTGCAAATGTTTCATGGTAGTCCACACCTGGGACTTGGGAATAGCCTTTCGCTACGTACCTAGCCTTATATGTCTCCTCGTCGTTAGGACCTGATTTAATTGTGTACACCCATTTTCCACCTACTATCTCGCGGTTGGGTGGAACCATGGTAAGTGTAAATGTTTCATTACTTACCAGAGAGTCAAATTCTTCATCCATTGCCTTTTTCCACCTAGCTGAATCTGGTGAATTTACTGCTTGTGAATAACAAGCTGGGATGTCATTCATCCTATAGCAATAATCTATTGCAACATTAGCGCTACTATCAGTGATACTTTCTACAACATACTCACTTAGGTAAGCGGGTTTATTGTGAGTCCTGGTAGGGTACCTTACTCTACTTACTTCACCCTCTACTGGTGGAATAGCTGGTTCAATATTCTCATCAGCTCCAGTTTGTTGCTCACCGTAAGAAGTATTGCGGGGAAGTGAGACAACCTCTTCGTCAATTTGACGGTTCTCGTTATCAAATTCAGTTGAATCAAAGAATTTAACACATCTCACTCGTTCAACTTTCATGCTTTCTGGATAATACACCAAATATGCAGGGCTATTTTTGTCATACCCTACAAAAATCCCCTCCTTACTTCTAGGTTCAAGCTTCTTAGAACCTTGCACATATGCATAGCATACTGCACCAAATACGTGCATATTATTCAGATTTGGCTTTATGCCAGTTAAGGCTTCATATGGGGTTTTGCCCAATCTGTCATTGAAGCACCTATTCCTTATATATGCTGAAGCCATCACAGCATATGTCCATAACATTTTGGGTAACTTGGCTTCTAACAACAAACACCTTGCCATATTAAATAAGCTAAGCCAAGCTCTTTCTGCTGTGACATTTTGATGGGGTGAATATGGGGCACACGTTTCATGTTTAATTGTGTTCTCTCGGAGTAGAGACTTAAACTTTTGCCCAATAAATTCCCCACCATTATCACTTCTGATACATTTCACTTTACCAAGAGGGGCAATATCTGCTAAAAATTGTTTAGTAGCTTCGACTGTATCAGATTTATGCTTTAAAAAATATATCATGATAACACCAGAGTAATCATCCACAAAAGACAATGCATAATTGAAACCATCCTTACCACCTGGACTAATTGGTCCAGCTAAATCTGAATGAACTAAATCAAATGGGGCATTGGCTCTCTTATCAGGTGTCCTATTTCTCGACTGGGTCATCTTACCTTGTGTGCATGTTTTACATTCCACTTCCTTATGACTAGTGATCTTCATTCCATCTACAACATTTTCAAGCTTACGAATATCTGAAAAATTACAGTGCCCTAGAATTCTATGCCACTCTAAAATTGTACCCGCATTATTCTTGGAAGATGAAATACCGTTTAGGTAATATAAACGACCTACCTGTTCAATGTTAAAAACTGCACCATCCGAGCTCTTAAAACTCTTGCTATGCTTATCTAGGCTTATGCTTGCGCCCTCTTCTATTGCTGCATTGACTGAAAAGATATCCTGTTGATACGATGGGACATAAAGCGCATTATTTAAAATTAGATCATGAGAACTTCCGTTTACGTCATATAGCTTAACCTTCGCAACGCCCTTACCTGTCACAACCTTAGCCTTACTGCCATCTGCGAGCTCTATAATGTGCGCATTTGGGTCAAAATCTTCATCAAAACTTATAAACTTAGATTTATCATTTACAATATGGCTAGTAGCGCCAGTATCTACTAAAAGATTGTTACTATAACTCTTACCACAGGCACTACTGTCACTGACTTTAAATGTAAACGTATGCTCACTGTTCTCAGTCTTCGTTCTTCCTTGATCTTCGGCTTTCTTCGCAGAATCGTTTCTCCCCATATTTGATCGGCATTCCTTCGTATCATGCGTTTTGTTTCTACAACGACTGCACCACTTCCCGTTTCCGTTCTTTCCCGACTTCGACCAACATTCAGACTTTTTGTGTCCCTTCTTCCCGCACTTGAAACAAACTCCGTCAAATCTCTCGCCGTTCTTCATGGCCATAATATTTTCTCCCGTCTCGCTGTTACCGTTTCTACTTTTCTCGCTCTCTTCGTAGCTACGCAGTGCGACTTTAAACTCTGCAAATGTCATTTGCTTGTCTCGTTGGACAACTATCGCCGAGAATGTCTTAAAGTTACTTGGTAATCCTTTTAGCACCATCGCGATCAATAACGCGTCGCTTACAGCTTCATCTGCGTTTCTCAATGCTGTCGCAGCCGTTTCAGCCCGTATGACATAATCAACGATGCTCTCACTGTCCGTTTTCTTGAGCGTCGTCAGTTCTGTGTATAGTGAGATAACTCGAGGCTTGCTCTTTCCTTGGTAGTGCTGTCGCAATATCTCCAATGCTCTCTGCCCGTCGTCTTTTGCTTCGCGTATAACTAGCGCCAAACTTCTGTCGTCTAGGCATTGTACCAACTCCGCGAAAGCATCTCCGTTCCTCGACGCATCGGGTTCTTTATCACCTGGCACAAATACATCGTGTAATTTTTGTAGCCTCATCTGCGCCAGAAACTTTACTTCCCATAGTTCATATTTACTTTCATCGCCGTTAAATAGTAGTCCCCTTCTGGGCCCATAACCTGTTGGGTTTGTGGCGGTTGCCATTCTTTATTATATTCAATTTGAGCACATAAGTTTCTTATAGCTTTATTTTACACGACAGACAGAATACAACTCACGCTTTTACAATGAATATACACTATTTACATAAGTTACGCTTTACGGTGATTGGTCAGATATTTACCAAATATAGTCATGAGTCTCTTGCTCTTTATCTATATGTAACTTAATATACCAATTACTAATAACATTACAACTAATAATTGTTTCTACTTTAATAACATAAATTACGTAATGCATAAGAGCACAACTTAACACCCCAAAGCTTCGTTCCAGATATTTGTTGTGATTAAAAGACTCACAGTCATTTAAGTCATCGGCGTCGTTCCTATTGTTACGGAGCCTGTCACGCAATGTACGCGATACGTATTTAATTTCACTGAGTTCACCCGTCTGCTCTATATATATATGTCTATGTATAATAATAATAATAATAATAATAATAATAATAACAATTACAATAATAATAATAATAATGATTATAATAATAATGAAAACTTTATTAATAGAACATTTATAGATATATACAATTGTAAATCTCACTTCTTGAGGTAACCTACAATTGACTACTTGAATCACTTATACATGCATGGTTATAATTTTATATACAAAACTTGCTACTTATTTATAGAAATAGTTACTTTAAATGTTCATTAGTTCGGGATTTGCCAATTCTTTATTTCTACAGCAAAATATGTAGTACGTTGATCGGATGGCAATAGATATAATTTTTCTGATACAAATAATAATAATAATGGAAACTTTTTATTAGATATTTACGATATACTATATATACATTGATAAACCTCACTTAATAAAAGGTAGCTTATCGATGTCCACTTGAATTGAATTTAAAGCTAAAATATATATACAGGTGAAAATCTTTTAAATTTAGTTAAAGTTTAAAAGTTCTGGGTTGTTCCAGTCTTTGTTTCGTCTACAGAATATATAATAAGACGTGCGAATACAAGTAGCAATTATTTTCTTTTTTACATATTTAATACATTGTTCGTCGTACTTCAGATCATGGAGCATATCAAATAAAGTATTCGTCGATTCACCAAATACACCTAAAGAGCTTATAGATACATTAACGAACTTAACTTCATCATATATATTTTCTTGATCGGTAATTAGAGTCAAATATTTTTCATGTTTTCGATCTGAGTTAGTTTTCAGGTTTGTTTCGAATCCAACAGTTAATTCAAGAATGTACAAAATCTTATTTTCAATTGTCAATAGAAGGTCTGGTCGTAACTCGTCACCAGTGATGACAGATGGGCTAATAAATCCAGGCAGATCTACATACATTTTCGACATTCCGACGTCGAGAAGGCTGGACGCAATGAGATTCAAAACTGAATCATGTCGCCATGTATATCTCCCTTCGTTTAGATATGTCTTACATCCAGAGATTACGTGCAAAAGCGATTCGGGGCAGAAGCAGAACGAACAGTCAGCAGATGATGACAGACCCCATTTAACTAGGTTTTTGCTAGTAGGCAAAGAATTGTTGATGTAACGTAGACTGAAGTTAAATATGTTCTTAGGAAGTTTTGAATGAACCGATGACCATAGGGAATTGAATGCCAACGTGGAGTTTTTCACGATGTTTGAGAAAAAAGAACCTTGTGACATTAGGTTATTTTGTAGTCGCTGGCTGTTCGTTTTTTTGTCTAAATGCCTTCAATACATCTTTTGTGTTTGAGTAAATGTCGTACTGAATGTTCCTATTGGTGCTTGTTATTGACCATAATTCACGTATGTTTTCATTTATCGATGACTTTAAAGCTAAGCGTGAAACAGTTTGGCACTGTATAAACTTCGTTGAAGGTAGAATGACATTTAAACCAGATTTGTTGTAAGGGAGATAGACATTGCTTAGAGTTGCAGATATTGGCAGTTCGAGCCATTTTCGTATATATTTAGTAGCAATACCGTCCAAAGTCTCGCAAACCCATGTTTGAGATATATCAGTTATTGTGAAGTCCCATGAGATTTTCGAGAGCAAGTAGCGACTATATAGCAGGATTTTATTTCGGGGGTGCAAATGTAATTCATCTATTTTAGATATGATATTATTAAACAAGTCACATATATCCGATTGGTGTTTTTCATCTGACATGTTGAAATTAAAATAACGACCAAGGTAGCGGAAAGATTCACCAGTTTCGGTACGGGGTACAAGTAGGTGGTTAACAAACAATTTAGGTTGATATTGAACAGATTTAGATGAGTGTTTTTTAATACCGAACGTAGAGCACTTGTCAACACGTATAATCATATTGGCCCATTGACACCATACCGAGAAGCGATTGAGTAGGATTTGATTTTCTTTTTCTTGGCTACTAATGACAGCCGCGTCGTCTGCAAACTGGAACCAATGAATTGGATTACACGGAATACCAGTTTTATTAAATTTCCAAAAGCCAAGCTCCGGGAATGATTCAGATTTAATGTGTTGTACGAAGGTATTAAAGGACATATTGAAAAGGAGTGGACTAAGGCAGTCACCTTGTAAAACGCCACGGCCGACGGTAATGAAAGGGGTACTGAATTTTTCAGTTATGATAGATGTTTGGAAGTTAGTATAAAGACTCCGGATTAGTTCATTTATAGGATCGGGTATATGATGATATTGAAGAACTTTGTAAATAAGGTTGTGATGTAGTTCACCGAATGCATTCTTCAGATCGAGTAAAGTGATTACAAGTGACCTTTGTTTTATACGGGCTGTGTTGATTATGTGCGCCATATGGGCTGTAGGTTCAACAGTTCCTGCAACGTTTGGGGTAAAACCTTTCTGGATGTCATGTTCTATGTAATTGTTTTCAGATAGGAAAGCGAAAATTTTGTTACGAAGACACGACGTAAAAACGTTGAGCGGAACAGATTCTAGAGTTATTGCGGGTCTGAAGTTAGCGGGATTGTCAGATTCGTCTTTTTTGTGAATCAATATCGTGCACGCTTTTTTCCATTCTGATGGAACAATACCAGATGACCAGGCAGCATGGATAATTTCAGTTAAATAAGTACGTAGATATGGGCAGCGTTTAAGACAGATAACAGATATTTGGTCGAGAGGGCACGGTGAGCCAGACGGTTTCATCTTTCGAATGACATTTGTAATCTCATTATAGGTCGGAGGGTCAAAATTAAATGGTGTTGTTGGGGAATTAAACTTGGGAATCCAGCTAGGAATGTTGAATGTTTTATTTGGAATAACTGCGGAAAGTGTCTTAGTAAAATAAGCTGTACATTGGGCAAGACCAAATGTTGGAAACGATTCTGTTTTTTTCTTAAGAAATTTTTTAACGTAACCCCAGAAATTATTATTGA